TCAATTACATGCCGTTTTTTAGTACATGTATTCATGTTGGTTGACGACATGAGCGCCAACTATGCAATTTGTACTAGTTTACATTCGTCCATCTGGGAGTTGCGTCCGTCGTTTTGAAAATCGGCAGTGGTCACGAGTCTTGCTTAAGTATCCCGGCGGTCGTATCAGAAGTGTACAGGTTTCGCGCGACAGCCGCGTAATGTTTCGCGTGGATTAATTTGAAAAGAGTTTTTCATGCGTACAGAGTACAATTTCCATTTGAGAGCTGATTCAAGTGTGTTTGCATGAACACAATGTGCAATCCCGATTGAAATGCTCATGACATCCATGTTGAACAATAGTCAGGTCTCATGTGCGCCAACCTCCGCAACACATTGTCAAATGTCACTTGAGACTTTGAGCGTTTGCGTAGTAGGGCGTTGCGTCGGTGTACCCTCGCATAGACTGCCACAGTTTGCCATCGTGCAGGTGCAACCTTTCCAAAGTGAGATTTGCATTGGGCCGTCTTGTTCTGAAACCTTCGCAGCTTACGTTATGGAGTCCGTATGTCTTCCACACTAGCTCTATGTTTGCCAGCGTGGACCCCAAGGACTGTGCTTCTAGCCATCTAAGCTGCGCAGCCTATGTGATGCAATGTGCGTGGTGCAACTAATTGTGAAAACCTTGAAGTTGTCAACCCAATTGCTCGCGCAATCACCCCACCTGCCCACCCGCAACTTAGTGAATTCATGCGGCTGCGATTGCGATGGTGTTTGGAGTTGGCTGGCGCATCTCTGCGGCTGCGCTGGCCAACGCATGCTCGCGCGCACAGCTGCAAGCCAGTTTGGCGCGACCGAAGCGGCCGCGGTGGCGCTGACCGCTGGGCACTTCCCAGCGGGCAGTTCAATGCGAGTCGGTGACTTGGGCGGGCGCGTTGACATGGCGGCGTCTTCCACGGCAGGGACGATGATGATAGTAGCGATGGGTGTGGCGATAGTGACGATGACGACAGTAAGGCCGATGACGGCGCCGATGCTGGCCACGCCGCTGACGATGACGATGTCCATATGTCATTAATGATGTTTGTGCAAGGAGTTCGACATGCGCGAGCGGCCGACACCCGCGAGTGGCCCGTGTGGTCTTATTTGACTAGGACGTTCCTCCCCAGTGCGCAAGCAAGGGCGATCGAATGATTTCCGCATGCGGCGCGAGAGGCCCAGTTGGTCGAATGATGTGGGCACGCTTTAAAGCCAATGGTTCCCTTAAGAGTTCGCAAGAGTTCGCAAGAGCGCGCGCGCGCGTTTTCGAAAGAAAAGACGAGGCAAGGGGGCAGACAGAGGGCGGGGAAGGGGGGGAAGTGTGAGAGGACAACGAAAAGGAAAACAAATACCCCCTTGGCGATAGTTTGAACGCCCCTGTCCTTGACGAGCACGGGTTAGGTGGTGGGGAGCGGGGCCGACCCCCAAAGGTGACGCCGCGGCGGCAAGGGTCGACCCGTCACCCGAGTGTGCGGGGCGCGAAAGAAATTCGGCACCCCTTGGTGGCAGTTGTAAAGGTGGGGGGCGGCCAACATGCCAGAGTGAAAAGATGAACTGACGTTGACAGGCACAATCAGCCGGCAGGGGAACAAATCCCGTTCACGGCCTCATGGAGAAAATCGCGTGGTGGCAATTGGCGCCATAATGTGAAGGTGGAGAGGTGTAAAGGTGTGGAGGTACGTTGGACCCCTCCCTGCAGCCGTCTTGGTTGGCCGAGGGGCTGCAGGGAGGTCCTCGGCCCCCTCCGGTGGCAATTGGCGCCATCATGAAACGGTGTGGGTGGGGAACCCACGCAGCCCCTATGATGGAAGCTGCGCGGGGTGTGAGGCCTATGATGGCCCTCACGGGCAAGGCCTAAAGACGGTCCTCACCCGGCGGGGGGGGGCGAGAGGGAGGGGGGCGCGCGCGCGCGTCGAGGTGGTTCTTGATGACAGTCCTGGGGGGGATACCTGAAACGGGAGAGCACCAAGATGGCATACACAGTTCCGACACCGAAATTGGATATGCCCGCGCACTCGTTCTCCCAGGGATTGGGATAAGAGGCGCAAGCGCAGACGCATTTGCACACAATCTGACGTCACTGTTCCCGACCGCCTACTCCAGGACAGCAAGAGGGCGACGACAACGACGACAACGACGACGACGACGACGACGACAAGACGACGACGACGACGACGACGACGACAACGACGAGATGCACCGTGAGGAGGTGGTGGGACCCCAGGTAAGGACGTGGGGGCCCATCTTTTCACGGCTGCGAAAGAACACGACGGTGTTTGTCAGTTTTCCGCTTCGCCGGGCCCAGGACCGTGAACCATGTAGAGGATGAAAAACCAGTTCCGGTGAAAGCGTCCAGACCTCGGGGCAGGACTGCAAGTAAATCCCGCAGTCGTTTCAGATGATCGAGCTCGACGAACGATGTATGCTCGGCTTGGGTGGAATCTGCCAGCGCCTTTTACCCCCTTCCCCTCCTCCCCCTCATTCCCCTTCCCCCCCCCTCCACGTCGTCCTCATACTTTCCCTTCCCTCGCCTACTCCTTCGGTCGCAATGTTGTTTTTGGGGTGTACTAGCGTCGGTTAGCGTCTTGTGATCGATGAGATAGTGCTGACATAGCGTCGACTAGCGTCGATGTAGCGTGTATGAGCGGCGTTGGTCAGCGTCGATCCGCAAGAGCCAGCAAGATGGTTTGGGGGAGGCTCTCGAGATATTCTGCAGAATCCTCCTCTCGTGCTACCTTCCCGCTCCTGAACCCAGCCTTCCTCCATGGACACTTGAGCAACGGAATGAAACTCGGTCGACTGCCCTGACATTCGCGCTTAAGTTTCCTGCATAAGGCCGCACACAAGCGCCCTCGTTTCCAGCGCAGCGCGCCGCGCTGGCGTCCTGCGCGAGTCGCCACGCAGGGGCCGCCATGCCGTTGTGCGTGAGGCCCGTATGGGAGACCTGCGCACATCTCTTCTCGTCCAAGACCTCCCCGGTGGCGTGCCACCCGCTCTCCCAACCCCCTCCTAACATCCAACGTCGCGAAAACGACCGCAGGAACACGACCCCAGCCCCAGACGAGCCACGTCCTTCGTCGAGCTGGGGGTCGATCCGTGCTTGTCCCGGGGCCCGAAACGGGGCGAAGGCGCCCGCTGTGAAGGAGTGGCAACGCCAGGCTCTCGGGGCCCGACCCCCGCGCGGGAAGCGGAGCAGGCGCACCCCGCGGGACCCGCAGCCATTTTGGCCCCAGGGCCAGGCCTCGCCCGTGCGCCCCTGGGCCGGCGAGGTCGACGGGGGGGGGGGGGGCGACACCCCTCGGGCAGTGCCGAGGGGGGTTCTTTCGGCCTCAAGTCCTGGGAGCCATGCGTGTCTTCCTGCAGTCGGGCCGAGGTATGAGATCGAGGTCGGTTCGGGGAGGGGGGGGGTGCAGTCGGGGGGGGGGTGGTCCGAGGTTCAAGGTTTTCGGTCGGAAGTTCTCGTCGGGTCTCTATAGGTGCTTTCCAACAGCTGCACCTCGCCGAGAGCGTTCCAGGGGTGCCCGGATCGCCCCAGACGGCCGCTGGAGGTCGGAGTTATGTCCCGAAAGCCAGTTGGGACGGGGATACGGCTGGACCGAGGTGTAATGATCGAGGTCGGTTCGGGGAGGGTGCCCTCATGTTCTTCGTGTTTGTTGGGTTTTCTTGTGCATCCTGGGGTGGGCACCCTTGGATATTCTGAGTGTCTTGGCCGACCCATGGTCTCATGTTTTCGAGGGATGTTTTTTTCCTGGCCTAGGTCCGATTGTATGTCTTCATAGCTCCGTCCTGGCAGCGCGTCAGCGTTCGCATGCGTCCAGCAATCGAGGAGGAAGCGCCGATGTAGCGTCGGTGTAGCGTGGGTGTATCGTCGATTTGGTGTCGACTGGCGTCGATTGGCATCGGCCAACACCCATTCGCAAGAGCCAGGGCAGGCAAGATGGCACGGTACGCTCCCACGAGTTGCCACCGAAGTGTCACGGCGGCGGGTGGTCACCACGAGGGCAAGGGGGAATCTAGGATCCCAGACGCCCTCGCGTCACGGAAAGATCACGAGGGGCCGTGCTTCACAGTTTCTGGTCTCTTGGCGCCCTTACCGGGCCTCGGGTCCGTACAAGAGAAGCGCAGGATGAAAAATTGGGTCCAGGGGAAGGGTCCAGACTTTTCATATGGTTCCATAGGGACCCCAGGGAAAGGGACTTTTGAGACGGGCGATGCCGATTTCTCAAGGCCGCCTGGCTTCGCCCACAAGGCTCCTGCACGACGCTGTCACTTGCACTCTTCGGAGTGTCAAGGGCAACGCCGCGGTCTCAGAAGTCCCTACGCTGGCGTTCTTTTAGGAAACGCGTCAATTTCTGAGAGTCCACGTCGTGCAGAAATCATGACGTCCGGGGTCTGGGATCGAGGTCGAGGAGGTTCTGCTCCATTTTGGGGGTTGTCCAGGTTCTCTGGAGCATCGTGGGCGAAACACGACGCATCATGATCCGCGGCCTCGCGGGCTGACCCCCCAACCCCGCGCGGACATGTTTGGTTTTTCGCGGATGTCCCGCGCGGGACAGCGTATCCGTGCGACTGCGCCTCCGCGGGAGCGCGCCCCAGAAGCCAGACCGCCGCGAGGCTGCGGCTTCGGACCTGTGCCCGCCGCTTGTGGTGCGAGAGTCGGTGACCCCCTTGGTTCGGATGCGACTCTGGGGAGGTCAAACTCTGAGCGTGCACTTGTCCGAAATCCGGCTTAATCTGGCTTCATTGCATATGCGGCGCAGTCCCGTTAAATGCGGTTAGTCCCGCTTCATCCAGCTCCATCCCGTCTAATACGCGGCCTGATCCGGCGTAGCAGCCCCCCCAATGGGGTTCCATTCTCCCCAGCGTTTCCGACGAAGCAGTCCCAGTGGTTGCCTCCTAATGCTGGTGGTGACCTCCCTTTCCGGCACTGCCCAGGCATCCGGCGCGGCCCCAGCGCGTTTGACGTTCCCGCTCGGGAGGCCGATGGCGGGCCCGGAGGGAGGGGCGGCGCCAGAGGTCCCTGGCACCCCGAGCACGGTGGCGCAGCGGGCCAGCAAGAACGCCTCCCCGCTGGCGGCCACCCTCCAGCCCCAGTCGCGCCGCGCTTCTGGCGCGCGGCTGGGCAGCACCGGAGGGAGCAAAGGACCCCTTGAGATCAGAGGTTCCGGAGACGTTGGAGCGGCCGGTTTCGGGTCAGTTTCGGCTTCTGGGGGCCCTCGAGGGTGGTTTGGTTGACCCTCGGGGCCATAGCGCGCGTCAGGCCCCCCATCATGCTCTCCTCAACGGCCCACGGCCCCCCGGACCGTCCATATAAACGACTCGGGACGAAAAATTAGACCTATAAGGTAGTGGCTTGTAGGGAGGTGGCCCATAGCTTCGGGGGTCCACGCATCGGACAAACATCGGAGCGCCAGATGTTCGGGAAGTCCCACGCCTGCACCGACTTCTGGTCGGGCTGGTGGTCTTGAGCACCACGGCCGGTGCACATGCCCTCCTGGCCGTCGTGCGCGCCTTTGGGCCGCGTTGGGACCCTCTTGGCCATGTTGGGCGTATTAAGGCAATCTTTCGGCAACTCGTGGCCCTCTTGGGCCGTCCTGAGGGCCCCCTCTGGGGCCCTCTGGGCCCGTCTTGGTGGGGCCCTCGTGGGCCCGAAAAGTCCAGCGACAACGCTTCCTGGAGTCCAGGGGGCACGCGTCAAGCCCAAGAAGATTTGAGAGTTCGGGGTCTGATCCCCTCACTTCGTTGATCAGAGAATTCGGGAAGAAAAAGGGTTAGAAGAACCGCTCTAAACCACTCACGCCCGAGAGGGCTGGTGGGATGTGTACGTGAAGCATCCAGGGCGGGCAGGGTTTGGAGTTTGGGTTCTGCGCCTTGCTTGACGCCACCTGGCGACCTACCCGACGCCTTATCCGACGGCCTTCCCGACGCCTTTTCCGACGTTTTCCCGACACCCCACCAGATTGCCTTAGACGCCCTATCCGACGCCTGACCTGCCGACGGCCTTCCCCGATGCCATTCCTGACGGCCTTTCCGACGCCCTACCCCACCTCTTCTCTGATTGTTTTCCCGACGCTCTATCCGACGTCGTTGCCGTTACTGTGGCGACAAGGAAAAGCGGAACAGATGCGTTTGTCATGTCGGTTTTGAACGATTGTTGTTTTGGGGGGTCTCTTATGACTGCTCGCAGGAGTTTCTGGAGCGCACTTGTAGAGCTTATTGGGAGCCTTTCGGGGGGCGTCTGGGGAGCCTTTGGTGTCTTCTTGGAGCTCCCTGGCGCCTCTTGGAGGCGTCCTGGGGCCACTCGATGGCCTCTCGGGGCCTTCAGGGGGCCTCTCGTGACCGAGGGCTCGAAATATCCGTTCGGTTCCCCATCCTGGGCCCCCTCTTGGGGCCGTCGGAGAGGAGCTTGGGCCGTCTTGGAGGCTTCACTGGGCCGTATTGAAGCTCTCTTAAATCGGTTTAGGGCCCTCTTGGAGGCCTCTTCGGCTGTCTTGGGGCGATATTGGCGGCCTCTTGGGCCGTGATGGAGCGTCGGAATCCGAAAACGAGAGGACGCCAAAATAATTTACACATATCAGGGAAATCGTTGGTTTGTGTCTCTTTGGGCCCTCTTGGGGGAGCTCTTGGAGCCCCCGTGGGAGCTTCTCGGGGGCTTGGTTGGTCGCTTTGAGGCCATCTTGGGCGTTTGGGAGCGATAGCGGGCCGACGCATGGGCCTTTTGGAACGTCTGGGCGGACTCCCGGTTCTCTCTTGGTTCGTTTTGGTTCCGGGAAGGCACGCGACACACCCCGGGAGCGGCCGGCAATCCTTGGGACCGCCTGGGAAATGGGGGGTCCGTGCCCGTAAGAGCCCTGCTAGAGATGGTACGTCTGAGGGCTGCATGAGCCTTGGGGCACTCCGCTTCGCATTAGAGGCACGGTGGCAGATATTGTATACACGCACACACAAATACATATATATATATACATGTGTATATATATATATGTATATATATGTGTGTGTGTGAGTGTGTGAGTGTGTGTGTGTGTGCGTGCGCGTGTGTGCGCGTGTGTGTGTGTGTGCGTCTGTGTGTGCATGTCGCCAATGTGCACCGCAAATTGTGTTTTATAACGCACGGTGTAGCGCAGCCTACGCTGTGGGCTAGGCCAATGGTTGCATTGCGCCGATGCTGATCACGCCGACGACGATAATGGTGTCCACACGTTGCGGATGAAGGTGTTGGAATAATTCGACATGCGCGCGCGGCCGACGGACGCGAGTGGCCCACATGGTATTCGTTTAAAGGTGCCGTGCTCAACCAGCAAGCGCGCCAGGGAGTTCGAATGATCTCGACATTCGCGCGCGAGAGGCCCGCTAGGTCGAATTGGATGAACAGTGTGAACAGCCTATGTAACCCCCAAGACTTCGCGCGCAGGTTCTTGTTCGAGATTACCAGTTGCAATGGTGTCTGTTGTCTTGTTTGTTCATATGTTTTCGGGAACATGGATCTTGAAGTCCAGACGAAACCTGTTGACTGAGTTCGGGGACCTCGAACGCCGCGCGCGTGTGGATTGTGCCCCATTGTTGCAAAGAGCATGGGAGATTTGTGATCAGTGCGCGGGTCGAATTAATTATTTACGTTCACGCATCTATTAAATAGCCAGCCTTGTACTGAGAGCTCGAGGGGGAACTCTGAAAAGGGGGGGCAGGCGGAACTGGAGCGACAACCCTACAGAATAGTAGCAAGCGAGGCCGCACCACCACGACGCCTGATAATTATTTGTCAAGGATTAGGGTGGGCGATGCCGGCCTGCCTGGGATGGTATGAGCTGACTCTTCAAATGAACGGCGGAGCTGAATCATATGGATAGTGTTATGTTTTGGCGTCGGTTTAGAACAAGAGGAATCATGCAGTCCAGTATGTGTGTTGCAGCCTGAGTGGTGCAGTCCATGCAGTGAAATCTATGTGGTGTTTATAATCTTGACCGTCTTGAAGCTGTCCTCTCCACTGCTCGTGCAAACATCCCACCCTCCCACCCGCAACTTGGTCGCAAGACATCTTCAGACAAGACCGTGACGGTAGGTACTGCATGGCACTTGGCCGCGACACCGATGCCGACGACGACAGCGACATCGACGACGACGGCGCCGCCGACAGCGACTGCGACGACACCGACGACGTCTCCAATGTTTTCGACGACGACAACGACGACGACGACACCGACGACGACGACAACGACGCCGACGACGACGACGAAGACGACGACGACGTCGCCAACGGAGACGACGACGAGGGAGGAGAAAAAACGACGACGGCGACAACGACGACAACGACGATGGAGGAGGGAAGACGGCGACGACGCCAACGACGAAGAAGGAGGAAGGACGGCGACGCCGACGACGACAACGACGAGGGAGGAGGGAAGACGACGACGATGACAACGACGACGAAGACGACGACGACGGCGACGAAATAGGAGGGACGACGACGAGACGCCGACGACGGACGACGACGACGAGGGAGGAGGATAACGACGAGGGAGGAGTGAAGACCACGACAACGACGACGACGACGACGGCGACGAAATAGGAGGGACAACGACGAGACGCCGACGAAGACAAAGAGGGAGGAAGGACGACCACGGCGACAACGACGACGGAAATGACGACGACGCCAAGACGACGACAACGACGACGAGGAAAGACAGAAGACGACGACGGCGACGACGACGACGACGACGACGAGGGAGGAGGGAGGACGACGACGACAACGACGACGCAAGAGCGCGCGCGCACAATTTTGTTGAAAACCCGTGTTGCGAAACCTCGTGTTTTTGTAGGTTTTTTGGACGCACGAATTCGAAATCCTTCCGAAACTGAAGGTTTTTGAAGGATTTCGGCATACGCCCGCGACGACGCGCGCGTCTGCACTTCGTCGTTTTTTTTGCAGAGGATTCTCGCGACGGCACACGCGCAAGGGCGTTCGACAGATTTCGACATGCGCGCGCGCGAAGCCCGTTTGGTAGCATGTTGTGAAAGTCTTGGAAAACCTATGGTTTTCTTAAGATTTCGCAAGAGCTCGCGCGTAAGTTTTTTTAGCAAATCAGTGTTGCGAAACCATGTGTTTTTATATGTTTTTTGGGAAATTCAATTTTGAAATCTCTCCGGAAGCGAAGGTTTTTGAAGGATTTCGGCATGCGCGCGCCACGACGCGCGCGTGCGCACTTCGTCTCATTTTTTGCAAGGGATTCGTGAAAAAGTGCTATGTTATAACAAAACGTGTCCCCGCACAGTGTTTTTTTACAAGGGAACCGCAGGGGGGGATACCGGCTTGGCTGGGATGGTATGAAATCATAGCTAGGATGGACATGTGGTCAGAATCATATGTGATTTAGAGCACGCGCGGGGGAACCAATAAGTCCGGGGGGGGGTAGAATCTATAGTACTCTTTTAGAAAGGAGAATCTATGCGGCACTGGCGACGGCGCCGGCGACAACAAGCGCGGCGACCGCCAGGCAGGCCGCAGATGCAGCAACGACGGACAGCGGCGACGGCAACAACAAGCGCGGCGACCTTCAGCCAGGCCCAGAAACAGCTGCGATAGACGGCGGCGACGGGCGGCGACGGCGACAACATAGCCACCCGACCGCCCCAAGCGCAACACACAGTTTGGGGAGCATATGCCGGCCCTGGGCCCAGCAGTGGCCTGGCCGTCCCCCTGAGATCCCACATCGCACGACAAAACACACAGCAGCGCGGGCAGTCACGAGCGAAGTTATAATCCGAGGGCCCCGTGTCCCGAGTCCAGGCGAAGCCGCCCAGAGTGAAAAAGCTCCATCATGCCCGGATCTGACATCTCGCGGCCGGCCCCCCCCCTTCGCTACAGTCGGGAGTTTCTTGATGGCGTGTCGCGCCGCCAGTCTCGGCCCAGCACCCATCGGCGCGACGCGCCATCCGCTCCCTGGCCCCCGGCGTCAACGCCTGCAGCCTCTCCGAGCCTCCCGCCGCAGCGGCGCGCCATCCGCTCGCAGAGGGATGGCGCGCCGCGGAGGCAGCCACGCCGTGGCACGCTATAGCCTTACGTCGGGCCTGCCCTTCTACAGGGGGAAAATCCAGAAATAGTCCAGAAATCGTCGGGGGACGATTTGTTTTCTATTGTTGATCATTTTGGAGCATTTTTCGAATACCTTGTATTCTTCGTCGGAAATCCTCCTGTAGGGGGACACGCCGTGGCACGCTATACAGGCGGCCCGGATTAGTAGGTCGACCCTGCCAGATCAAGGGTACCCTCGTGTCCTCTGTCTTGCGACCCATGCCTCTTGCATTCCTGTGGCCACGTGGTCCTCGGCAGGGTCTTGTGTCCTCTCGCGGGTCCTCTCCGATCAAGTCCGACTGTAGCAACAGCTCCCGACTGCACCTGCAGGCAGCAGGCCTGGGCGGCCCAGCGCGGCGCCCGGCTCGCCCAGTTCGCTCGACTCCGACGGCGGCGCGCGCGGCGGGCTGGAGCTCCTGGGCGGCAAGCCGCGGGCGCAGGCCGCCTCGGCCCTGGAGCAGGAGCTATTTTTGTGTTGAAGCCGGGCTGGGCCCTAAACGGTGTTTTGGCGATTTCGTGGGCCGTTTTCGTTTCGATTTCGTTTTGTTGTAAAGGCTGATTGAAGGCAATACGAGGGAAAACGACAACAAAACAAAAACGAAAAACATTGTTTAGGTTCAGCCCTGTGTTGAAGGGTCGGGAAAGAGCCCGGGGTTATCCTCGGGCCCCGCCGCCGCCGAGGAGGAGGAGGAGGAAAAGGTACCCACACCTCTTCCCTTCGCCCGTTCTCCTTTTTTGGGGGCCTCCTGGGAGGCCCTCGTCGCCACCACTGGATTCGCCTCGAAATCCTGGTCAGGACGCACCCCGGGAGAGGTCTGGGGAGAAGCGGTATCGGTACCTTTTGGTTCCCCCACGCGCCCCCCACCCTTTCTTTGCCTCCTCCCTCCCCCTTCCCCCCCCCTCTCTCTCTTCCTCCTCCCCACCCTTTTTCCTTTTTCCCCCCCCTGGGTGTGGTAAGAGCTGGTTGCGCGGCGTCTGGCCGGGGGAGATGCACATACGTACGCCTTGCAGGTGTCTGATGTTCCGTCCGTCCGTCCGTCCGTTCCGCCCCCTTCCACCTCTCGGATGACCTGGCCTTGTCGGTTGTGCAGGCCCGAAGGGGGTACGCAGTACTGCTGCGCGCGGGCGCACGTGGGGCTGCCCAGAGTGACAAGGTCAGGCCAGCGGCCGGCAATCCCCCACCCCCACCCCTCCCATATATACATATACAATGTGTTTATATATACATATATATATATATATATATATATATAACCCGGTCGTACATATATATATATATATGTATATATATGTATATATACATATATATATATATACATACATATAGATATGTATTTATGGACATACACACATACATACATATATGTATATATATGTATATATATATATGACCCGGCCGGTCGCCGAGAAACAAATGGCACGCATGCCCGGGCTCTCGCACGCGGAGGGTGACGAGACGGGCGAATCTCGGAGTCTCTTCGGAGTCTACCGGGGCGAATCTTGGGCGAATCTGGGAGTCGCTTCGAATATCCGGCGACTGTTGGGGCCATCCTGGTGCTATCTCGGAGTCTCTTCGGGCCGGTCGGGGCCGCCAGGCGGGGCCTGGGGCGGGCGGGTCCGAGATGGCGAAGGGGTGCTTGTCGGGGGCGGCAAAGAGGGGGGTGAGGACTAGGGGGTGTATCATGACGTGGGCCATGATGCTGCCACAGATTTCATGGCGCCTCCTCTTATTTCAAGACGTCTCTGGCCCCCTCCCTGTGCCGCGCACGTGCCGCTGGCCATGATCTGCGGCCCCCCCTCTTTGACGCCCCCCTCTTGGCCGCCCCCGAGGTTGACGACGACGACGACCGATCACGGGCTCGGAACCTTAGGACACAGCAGCGCGCAGCGCAAGAGAACAGAACAGCGGCCTCCAGGCAGGCTCGCCGCCTCTGAGCTCCGTGAGCACCTCGGCCGGCCTGACGCCGAGCCCCGAGGCGGGGCGGGGCGCCAGCCGAGGAGCCCCTGCACGGGGGAGCCTCGCCCCAGGCCGGCCCTGGGCCCGGGATCTGTGCGCCAGGCGTTGGGACACGTCTTGGAGCCGGCTGGTGGCCGCCCAGCGCTGGAGCTCACCACCCACCCAAGCACCCCAACCCGACCCAAAGGCCTGGGGGGGGGGGTCGGGGCACATTGAAAACACATATGGAACCCGTACCCCCCCCCCCAACCCGAAATTGTGGTCTTCGGGTCGGGTTGGGGTGGTCTGGTCGATGGTCAGGTGCTGGGGATTCGAGAGGTTCTCGGTTCGGGGAGGGGCGTGCCCTTTTCGGTATCTCGGCGGGGCCGCTGTGGGGCCCTGGGGCCGTCCAACAGGAAAATCCAGGGCAGAGCAACTTGCACCATGGAGCCCTGGAGGGGCCCGGGGAAATGATGTTGAAGGGATCTGCCTCTTTTCCGATGATCTCGGGCCCCAACCAGCTCAGACAACCATGGCCGCCTCCAAGAGATATTGTAGGCCTCCTACGAAATGGGGTAAGAGTAGATGGAGTCGGAGGATCGCGCCGCATCGGCGATGCGACTGGATGTGGAGGTCGACTTTCTCCACTCCAGCGGTACCGATACGTCGCCGATGTCGCGGATGCATTGGCGGTGCATCGCCGAAGCATCGCCGATGTACCTGCGATGCGGCGCGGTCTTCCGACCCCCTCTGCTCCGACCCCATTCAGGGGGCCTCCATATGCCCATT